AAAAATCGACCACATACTTGGCAACATATCAAACCTCAGCAGCTACAAAAAATTGGAATAACTCCATGCATCTTATCAGACCACCATGCCTTAAAATTAGAATTCAACAACAACACAAATTGCAGAAAACCTACAAACTCATGGAAATTGAATAATGCTCAACTGCACCATCCCTGGGTCAAAGAGGAAATAAAAAAAGAAATTAAAGACTTCCTCGAATTCAATGAGAATGAAGACACAACATACCCAAACCTATGGGACACTTTGAAAGCAGTGCTACGGGGGAAGTTCATAGCCCTAAGTGCTCACATGAAGAAACAGGAAAACAGTTATACCAGAGAATTAACATCACAGCTAAAAGCTCTAGAACACAAAGAAGCAAACTCCCCCAGGAGGAGTAGACACCAGGAAATAATCAAATTGAGGGCTGAAATCAACAAAGTAGAAACCAGGAAAACAATACAAAGAATCAATGCAACGAAGAGTTGGTTCTTTGAGAAAATCAACAAGATAGACAAACCTTTGTCCAAACTTACCAAACAGCAGAGAGTGAACACGCAAATTAACAAAATCAGAAATGAAAAGGGGGACATAACAACAGACTCTGAGGAAATCCAGAGAATCATTAGGTCATACTTTGAAAACCTGTACTCCACAAAATTCGAAAATTTAAAGGAAATGGATGACTTCCTGGACAGCTATCATTTGCCAAAACTAAATCAAGAACAGATAAGCAATTTAAATAGACCTATAACCCCTATGGAAATAGAAGCTGTCATCAAAAGTCTCCCAACCAAAAAAAGTCCAGGTCCAGATGGCCTCAGTGCAGAATTCTACCACAAATTCAAAGAACAGCTTATACCAATTCTTCTCAAAGTGTTCCACACAATAGAAGCAGAAGGGTCTTTGCCAAACTCTTTCTATGAGGCTTCAATAACCTTGATCCCCAAGCCACACAAAGATACAACCAAGAAAGAGAACTTCAGACCAATATCCCTCATGAACATTGATGCAAAAATACTCAATAAAATACTGGCAAATCGGATCCAAGAACACATCAAAACAATCATTCACCACGATCAAGTAGGTTTCATCCCAGGGATGCAGGGATGGTTCAACATACGAAAATCCATCAACGTAATCCACCATATAAACAAGCTGAAAAACAAAAATCACATGATCATCTCACTAGATGCTGAAAAAGCCTTTGACAAAATCCAACACCCCTTCATGATAAAGGTCTTGGAGAGATCTGGGATAACAGGGACATACTTAAACATAATAAAAGCCATATACAGTAAACCAACAGCCAACATCAAACTAAATGGACAGAAACTCAACGCAATTCCTCTAAAATCAGGAACAAAACAAGGCTGTCCACTCTCTCCATACCTTTTCAACATGGTACTTGAAGTTCTAGCTATAGCCATACAACAACAAAGGGGGATCAAGGGGATACAAATTGGGAAGGAAGAAGTCAAACTTTCACTGTTTGCAGACGATATGATAGTTTACATCAATGACCCAAAGAACTCTACCAGGGAACTCTTACAGCTGATTAACACCTTCAGCAAAGTGGCAGGTTACAAGATCAACTCAAGAAAGTCAGTAGCCCTACTATATACAGATGATAAAAGGGCTGAAAGAGAAATCAGAGAAACATCACCCTTTACAATTGCCACAAACAACATAAAATACCTTGGGGTAACGCTAACCAAACAAGTGAAAGACCTGTATCGTAAGAACTTTGAATCTTTAAAGAAAGAAATTAAAGAAGCCCTCAGAAAATGGAAAGATCTCCCATGCTCTTGGATAGGTAGGATCAATGTAGTAAAAATGGCAATCCTGCCAAAAGCAATCTACAGATTCAATGCTATCCCCATTAAAATCCCAGCACAATTCTTCACAGACCTTGAAAGAACAATAATCAATTTTGTATGGAAAAACAAAAGACCCAGGATAGCCAAAACAACCCTGTTCAACAAGGCAACGTCCGGAGGCATCACTATCCCTGACCTCAAGCTCTATTATAGAGCTATAGTCCTGAAAACAGCTTGGTATTGGCACAAAAATAGACAGGCAGACCAATGGAATCGAATTGAAAATGCGGGTATTAACCCACACACGTACGAACATCTGATCTTTGACAAAGAAGCTAAAAATATACAATGGAATAAAGAAAGCATCTTCAACAAATGGTGCTGGCATAATTGGAGACTGGCATGTAGAAAAATGCGGATCGATCCATGTTTATCGCCATGCACAAAACTTAAGTCCAAATGGATCAAAGACCTCAACATAAATCCAGCCACACTGAACCTCTTAGAAGAGAAAGTGGGTGGTACCCTTGAACGAATTGGTACAGGAGACAGCTTCCTGAACATAACACCAGTAGCACAGACAGTGAGATCAACAATTAATAAATGGGACCTACTGAAACTGAGAAGCTTCTGTAAGGCAAAGGACACAGTCAGCAAGACAAAAAGGCAGCCCACAGAATGGGAAAAAATATTCACTAATCCCACATCTGACAGAGGGTTGATCTCCAAAATTTACAAAGAACTCAAGAAGCAAGTTTCCAAAACAGCAAAGGACCCAATTAAGAAGTGGGCTGCAGAACTAAATAGAGAGTTTTCAATAGAGGAGTCTAAAATGGCTGAGAGGCACTTGAGAAAGTGCTCAACATCCTTAGCCATCCGGGAAATGCAAATCAAAGCAACTCTGAGATACCATCTCACTCCTGTCAGAATGGCTAAAATCAAAAACACCAATGACAATTTATGCTGGAGAGGATGTGGTGAAAGGGGGACACTCCTCCATTGCTGGTGGGAGTGCCAACTGGTTCAGCCACTTTGGAAAGCAGTATGGAGATTCCTCAGAAAAATGGGAATAAACCTACCACAAGACCCAGCAACTGCACTCTTAGGCATATATCCAAAAGATGCCCATTCATATAACAAAGATGTCTGTTCCACTATGTTCATAGCAGCTTTATTTGTAATAGCCAGAACTTGGAAGCAACCTAGATGTCCCTCACCCGAAGAATGGATAGAGAAAATGTGGTACATCTACACAATGGAGTACTATTCAGCAGAAAAAAATAATGGAATCATGAGATTCGCAGGCAAATGGATGACACTAGAAGAAACCATCCTGAGTGAGGTAACCCAGTCACAAAAGAGAAACATGGCATGTACTCTCTCATATATGGATTTTAGACATAGATCTGGGGAGTGCCAGCCTACAATCCTATTGCCAGAGAGTCTGGGAAACAGAAACTTCATTTACTGGCTGGTTAAGTACTGAGCTGAACTCAAGAAAGCCAGTATCAGAGAGGGAGGACTGATGATCAAAGGGATTAAGACTGGGCTGGTTGAACCCCCAGAAACAGCTGACCAGACAAAGGTTAACTCTTGAATCCCAGGCATCAGCCTGGGAATCCAGCATGGGACTGATCAAGACCCCCTGAATCTGGGTGTCAGTGAGGAGGCCTAGGTAATCTATTGAGCCTTGGACAGCAGATCAGTACCCATCCCAAGTATACACACGGTCTCTGGACTCCCATAGAACAATGTGAGGTGCACTCTCACCCTGAACTCTTGGGGAAGGGTCTAGGCCCTGCCCTATATGAAATGACAGACTATGGACACCCCCATGGAGGGCCTCACCCTCCCTGGGGGAATGAGGGGATAACGGGGGGGGATGGGGGAGGGCACGGGAGGAGGGGAGGGAAAGGGAGAGGGACCTCGTACTGACTTGTGAAGCAACCTTGTTTCTTATCTAAATTTAAAATGGAAAATAAAAAATATTAATAAAAAAATGTATTAAAAAAAAGACAGAAGAAAAATCTAGGGACTGTCATCTGTTTATACTTTTCTAAAAGTCTGATTTCCCTCATACTTATCATCTTCCTTACTGTTGCCTTTCCTAGTATGCATACACATAGAAGTTTAAATTTCTTTGTTGACATTAACATTTCAGTTCTCCACTTGAGAACAAGAAATTTCCTAGCAGCAATCTTCAAACACCTTGGAAAGAAAATGGGTCCCCACTTCATCGACTCCATCTGATCTAACTTGATGCATCTGAACTGACAAGTGCCATTTGGAAAGCGGTTTGGGACTACACAACTCCAGACTAATTAACTGATATGATGTACTTTCTACAATCTGGCCAGAGCCTCAGACAAAAGCTTCAATCAACATTAGAACCTCAGTCAAAAAAAAAAAAAAGAAAAAAAAGAACTTCAGTCAAGAACTTCAATCAATCATCTCCCGCCAAAAGAGACTGAATGCAAATGAGACTTTCGTTACACTAACATTTTCTTCCTACAGGTTCCCATGAGGTTGTCATCATCCTATTTTAGCAGGAATTAATTTTGAGAATACTATGCCCTGTAAAGTGAAGGCTTTTCCTTGCCAGCCACTTTGGTTTTTCCCCACCAGTTGCCTGGGCTCTGCCATGCTGTAGTCCCCAAATAACACACAAGATGCTGTATTAATTATGAAGCTGTTGGCCTTGCTTGTTTCTTATTGGCTAGCTCTGACTTAAGTATTTACTCTATAATTGTTAATCTAAGTATTTCTCTTACCGGAGAAAAGGGTCTGGACTTCTTACCCCTATGGCAGCTACATGGTGACTCCCTGTGTTTCTCCTTCCCAGAGTCCTCCTGGACTCCTAGTCCTACCTATCTTGCTTCCCCATTGGCCAACAGTGCTTTATTGACATATACACAGGTCTTCCCCATCAATGCCCCCTTCCCCTACTGTTGATATTGCAGGATAGTTTACACCTGATAAGTTAGTTTTCAATTATTTAGGGTTGGGATTGGAAGGAGGTGTTCAGACTCGGGCATCTCCTTCAGATAACTTTAGGCTTTAGATGGGATAGATATATTTAGGATATAAGTAGTTTATAATTTGTTTATCATCTTCTAGGTTTATATGCTGTATATATGTTTGCATTTTGTATCAAGTCTAAGTCCTTTCTTTAGACTAAAAGGAGAATTGTAGGGAGAGACTGCATACCTGTAGTGCTGACTATGTCCCTTGGGGTGCAGTCACAGCTATGTGGGAGATTCAGGGGTAAGAGATGGTAGAGGAGGGGGTGCTCTCTCTGTTGAGCCAGCTGAGGTCCAGAGACCACAGAGCCCTGACCCAGTTCTCAGCTTTCATGTAAGTTACTTCTATCTGACTACCTCCCTCCCATCATTAGTGTGACTCGCTTTCCCGTTACAATTTACTTCTATCTTTATAACTTGTACTTATATATCTTGAATCATCTGCGTTCATTTAGTGAAAAGTTACACCTGAAATCTGTTTATCCTTATTATGAAGCCTATGAACAAAGCAAACCTATCTGGATTTTTAGCAAGAAACTTAATTAATGAACTAATGAACTACTGCAGTGATCATAGCCTTGGGGGGCTAGGGCAAGAGCTGTTAAACTGGTGAGACTATCAGTAGCCTAGTCATCAAACACCATTAGATCTGAGAAGGACAAATTTCACCTGAGTAAGCAGAAGTGCAGACCAAGCAGCTTCCAAATCTATCAAAATTGACAGGGACTCACTGGCTACCCAGACACCTACCCCGGGTTCCTCCACAATCACTGAGGACAGAGGTCCCAAGGCAGAATCAGTCTTCAGTTGCCAGGCTCAGAAGATATGACAGAGTTTCCTGTGGGGTAGGAAACTGGGGGGACTGGCCTACCTGTCTTAGCAAAGTGGAGTAATCAATTATCTAGGGTCCCACTTGTCCACAGTCTGGATGGGGTCTTGGCAGAAGCTGAGGTGAAGGGCAGTTTTTTCCTGCTCCCTGGGTGGATTTGCTACATTTAAGGGAAGCTCCTGGTGGGAGTTCCTCTGTGCCCATCCATCCTCCTTGGAGAAGATGGGGTGCTGCCACACCACTATCACAAAAAGCTTTTTTATCAAACATTTTAAATGCCATATTCTCAGATCTCTGAAGCATTTGAGGGTCATCACCTGTTGAGTATATCTAAAGTAGGCAAATGTTTGTTTCTAGCTCCTTGGTTTAGGCTTAATTCTGGAAATATATCTGAGAAACTAAATCTGAACATACCCAAGAAGTTGATCCTTTATGAGGTGACTGGTGATTGAGATTAGGGTTTTATATCACTATCCTTGTTAAACCATTTTTGCTTATTCCAATAAAAACATATTACAGGTATGCCACACAATCCTACAGGGCAAGCAGTTATAGAAAGAACAATTAGAACTCTGAAGGATAATGCTAAATAAACAGAAATGCTAGATACCCCCAAAATATATTGCATAATGCTTTATTGACTTTGAATTTTCTGAATGCTACTGAGGAAAGAATAGCACCTGCAGAGAGACCTTGGATAACAGAAAAAACCTATGGAATTAAATCAGCCAGTGTTCTTTAAAGATGTGCTGATCTCCCACATGTACCCCCTGAAAAATAAATGTAAAAATCTAGGAGGAAGCTTGCTGGTGAGGGAGCCAACCCTCAGCAGGTCAGAAACAGGAAAGGAGGTGTGGCGTCTACCAAACTGTACACACACAGGAGACTTCTCTGACAGTCAAAGCTTACTTCTTCCTTTTTTCCCTCTCTGCTGCTTGTTCCTACTCCCTTCCTTTTCTGTCCGGTCCCTCTACCCTGTTTTTTCCTTCCACATCTTCCCTGGTGTTTTCCTTGTGCCCGTCTTGTCCCTTTTATACCTCCTAATGCAAAGCTTTCTATGCAAAAAGACAAATTAAAGCCATCAAGCCATGAGGTCCATGGATATTTTCACTTGCGTATCCATGTTGGATTATTTTTAGGAAGGTCTGACTTGCAACACTGGACACATGTGTTTGTTTCACTGATCTTTACAGGTGTTTTCAGATTTTTCTTCCTAGTTTTATTCATCAAGAAAATTATTGTCATTTGTACTGATATTAATTTATTTATTTATTTTCACTTACACTGAATATTCAATGATGTTATAAGATAATTTACCTATGATTTGAAGTAATATATTTTACTTACTTGAACAATGTTCCCAATAACAGACACTGTGCATTTTTTTTATATTTCAGAGATGCAGAGCAAACCCCAAGCCCTTTACAGGCAAATCAAATGTTATGCCACTGAGCATAACACACAGTTCTTCTGACTTCCTGAGAGTTCAGAAGCAAAAGAGATCCTGTAGACACTACACTGTGGATTTAAAACCTGGATCTGTTCCCAGTTGAGTTATATGGTATATGGAGTACACTCTGTTGGGAGGCCAGAAAGCAACAGGAAGTCACAGTCCAGTTGGCCAGGAAACGGGAAGGGAAAGCCCAGAGCTCCACAGTACTCCCTGCAGCTGAGAACAGCTGCTCAATGTTCATTGTCTGCTAGGATACTTTACATTTTCTGAGTTTATTAGACCTCAGCCCTATCACAGGTGGAGGAGTCCATACTAGCTTTCAGTTCTACTCTCATTTCTTGCCCCCTTTCCTACACAATATAATCTCCAAAAGCAGAGAAAGATGTCGCAAGTCCTGCTTTGTTACCCATAGCCTTCTTCATTTAAGACAGGCTCTCACATGTAACCTGAAGCTCATTGGTTTGTGTCTTTCAGCTGGACTGGTAGCCAGCAAGTCGCAGTAACTCTCCTGTCTCTGTTCCCCATAGCTCAGTCACGCCTGTTTTTGTTTTTTACATAATGCTGAGGCTGCCAAACTTAAACCCTTATGCTTGTGCAGTAAGTTCCATTACCCACTGAGTCCTCCCCTAACCCTGTTATACATTCCTTGGTAGACTGAGGGGAAAATGGCCTGTGTATATAAAAGCATTATAACAAAAAGTGCTACAATCAATATGGACTAGCAGGAGAATAAAAAGAGGAACAGGTAGAAATGAAAGCCAGTCTAGACTGTCCTTAATGTATGAGATGACTGAGTCACAGTGGCCTGTAGTTACTCTTAAATGTCCTAGGCTGACAGTACATCTGACACACCCACTTTCCTGGACAGCAGAACTCAGTGATACGGTGCACTGTGAAGTTCTAGGGTTTGCTATGATTGTGTTTTATTGTGGATACTGGGAGCCCAAAGAGTTGTATGTTGGGACTTAGAAATACAGCTCAGTTGGACAGCATGTTCCATATATGCATGAGCCTGGGTTTGGTTCACTATCTCTACAACAGGCATCATGGTGCAGAGAGTAGGAGATCACAGAACACCCAGCCTTAAATGGAGAATATATACTGCCTATCCTCCTCCAAATGCTCAGGGATCATTGTAGAAGAGGGGGCAGGAAGTGTGTCAGAGCCAAAGGCAGTGGATGACAACAAGAAATGGTGTCCTCTGGAAATAGCTGTGTATATGAACTCACATTGGTTGTGACACCATGCACAAGACCTGTGCAAGCCTAAAGCAGATTGGATCCCAACATGGAGGCAGTGGATAGGAAGCCCCATCTTTCACCATGGAGCAATTTGCATCTGTGAGCTGCTAGGAGAGGAAGGGTCAGCTTTCTCTAAAAGTGTAGGCACTGGTACATCAATTATACTCCAGGGGAAGACCACACATCCAAGAAAATTTGGGCAAGTATACATTGGCCTTGATTGGTAAAAGAAATAAAAAGAAAAAAAGATACAGAGTTGGGTAGAAGGGGAGTGGATGAAGATAGTCAAAATACATTATATGAAATTCTACATAATGAAAGTTAAATAAAATTGGAAAAAGGAATAAACTGCATTTGAGCCATGGTAAAATAGGGACCATTTTGCATATTGGTAAATACGGTTTTTTTTCAAATTCCAGGGCTACTATTCATAAACTTGTTGCATAGTCAGTGTGGGTGCAAGTAGAGTGATTCACATATCATGAATAAAACTAATTCCTGACAAATGACATATCCAAAATTGAATAAAATGGGTTACAGAAGTCATCAGTACTGTTGCATAATATTCCTGTAATAGACCTTTCTAAGCAAGACAATCAAATTGGATATCTTAGATTAAAACATGGATATGATGACCTAATTTTTGTGAAATATTTTAAGTTATATCTAAGGTTATGGCCAAAATAGAAAGTTTAGTGTATATCTTAACACCCTATTCAGGTTTATTTTTGCATTGTTACTTATTCAGGATTTTAGTTCTTTATTCGATTGTTCATTTTTCTTACTAATTTAAAGAAGTCATATACAATAAATCAGAATCATTGACAGGTATGCTTTTATTGGATTGTATAAAACTGCTTTTGTTTTTTGAGACAGGGTCTCACTATGTAGACTTAATTGACTGAGAACTTGTTATGTAGGTCAGGCTGGCCTAGAACCTATAAAGGTTCACCTGCCTCTGCCTCTTAAGTGATGGCCTTAAAGATATACACTGCCATGCTTAGTATGCTAAACTCTCTTATCTTTACTTTTAAACTTCAGTAAAAGTCATTTGAGTGGAAAAATTGTGTTCACATCAACAGCTGTTTGTATTTCATTCTAATTGCATCCCCCCCACCGTGAGTGTGTGTGTGTGTGTGTGTGTGTGTGGGTGGGTGGGTGGGTGGGTGTGGGTGTGTGGGGGGTGTGTGTGTGTGGGTGTGTGTGTCTGTTTCTTTCTGTATATATAAGATCCAAATATCTCGTAGGACCACTCAGCTCAGTGACCATTAGTGTCACACAGTCAGAAATGCTTAGCTAGGCTGTTCCTTTGAGTAACTCATCAACTACACTGATTTCCACATTCGGTACTGTGTACTGCCCTAACGAAATGGAACGTTTTGCAAACATTGCTTTAGTTTGCAACACTGAGCACTCAGGAACAGTTTTGCTGTTTAGAAGATTAAATTGCCCTCAGATTGTTTCCTCATCAGGAAAAATCTGCAGATTAAACAGATTAAGAATCTTCTGGGGTCAAACTCTGTGTTTTGTGGGGACCTGAGAATCATCATTACCTAAGAGCAGCTTATGTGGGAAACAGAAGACAGAAGAATGGAGCCAGAGATGACAGAAGGCGGTAGGACAGAACGGGGACAAAAGCCTGTTATCGTAGAGAACAAGAGTCAGGTTATATCTACTAATAAGAAAACAAACAAGATTGGAAAAACAATCCAAAGACAGGGCACTTTGAGCATTTGAAAGTGAATTCTTTACTCCGTTATAAAAACCACTGAGCCCCCTGTTGTTACAAACTGCTTTTGTAATGGAAGAGACAGACTCTCAATGTACATCAGGACAGGGGAGTGGGATAGTGAAGACACAACCTTGAGGAATGGAACCAGTCCCAGAACCCCAAACAGGCTTAAACTGGTTCCTTTTACATGATCATCAAAACCATTTTAGCTGCTGATTTCGAATACATTATGTTTGCTTAGTAATTTCAGTGACTGAGTCAATACGAACTTTGTTTTCCTACAGTTCTTTGTTGTTCCCATAATAAGATGGTAGGGTTTTTTTGTTTTGTTTTTTTTTTTACAAAAGTCAACATTTACCCAGCTTAACTGCCAGTGCCTTCCCTAACTCACTACTCACCTGCCAAAACAAACTCTGCTGGGCTATTTCTACCTCAGCAACCCTTCAGTTCCTGCCATTCTTAACATTTTAGCTGGCTTTTTATTTCCTCAGATGTTCTGCAACCGTGAGTACTTAAAGGTAAATATTGGGCATCTTGCAAGTCTCATTTTCTCCTCTGCATGGCTCATTTATTCTTTTCTTTTGAATTTCCTGTCTTTCTCCTTTCTTTGGACTTAAAAAATAATAAGGAAATACAGACCAACTCACAGCAGTAGTAAAAAGGCAGGCTACTCCAATGACCAAACATGACAGAAAATAAAGAATGACCACTTCTTTGTTTTTAGAGGCAGTCTAACACAGTGCTCATCAACCAGACCTTAGGAAATCCCGATGTAGAGAGTGGGTGGGTAACTTGGTGGGAAATATTTGGTGTCAATGTTGACATATTGCTTCACCATCTTGAAACCATTATTGATTAACAGTCCCCAATATTCTGCCCCCATTACTCACCAGTCAGGCTGCCTGGACTTCACCTCACAGAAAGATTATCACTAGCGTCTTAAGACCCAAATTCTACATTTCATTGTACTCAGTTGACAACTTCCAAAGGTTTCACACAGGTCACTCCAGGTAAAAGATTTTCTAATTCCTCTTCTCATTAATCTAAACCCTGACTTGTACTGACCAGGTGACTTAGATGGTTAAAAGAAATTAAATGCTGGCAAGCAATTCAGACAGAGCCGTCTTTTCAGACATTTATTCTTTTAATGTACATAAAATGTCTTTTGGAATACACCATTGAAACATGCAGTTCTAATGTTATTGGAACCTATGAAATCCTCTTACCTACTTAAGCACGAAGTAGAGCTTTATCTGACAGATCCTCTACAAACACTTGTCTGCACTGAATTTTGCAAGCTCTCTCCTCTCTCTCTCTGAATGAAAGTAAATTTATTGAGTTAGCATAGCTATTCTTATTTTAACTATTGCTTTCTTGAGATTAATTTCAGATAAAAACAAATACTTAAGTAAAAAAATCTAATATTGAAAACATTTTGTTATCTGAGAGTATGTTAATTGAAATTATGCTAGCAGCTATTAATAGGTGAATTTTGTCTATTTTAGTCTACCAAATAATATGTTTACATATTTTAAGTTAATCTTTTATATTCATTGTATTTCTTCCAAGTGTATACCTACTCATAGGCCTGATGGCAATACATACTTCACATAACTGAGATGTTAGTGTTGTGCCCAACTGACTGTTGTTTTTAAGCATCAGTATAACTGCTATCCGTTAGGTCAATTTTGTGTTAAAGGCACATCTTCATTGCACCAGGTTTCATCAAGACAGTATCATTCAGACATTAATTTATCATGCACTTTGAACATATCTACCTCCATGCCCTCTTTATTTCCCTTTCTCTACCCCTATAGACAATCCCCTTCCCTCCCCAGACCCTCATTTATATGTGGGTTTTATGTATCAGAAAATCTAGGATCCAGAAATGAGATAAAACATGAATATTACTATATTACTATTTCATTTCATTAGTCTATTTCTAGATTGGGCTTTTGCTTTTCTGTATTTGTGGGGGTTTTAGTTCTTTATAAATTCTAGATATCAGTGTTCTGTCACAGGTATAGTTGGCAACCACTGTCATTCTCTAAACTGTATGATCATTGAATTAATTGATTCCTTTGGTGTGTGGAAACTTTTTAACTTCCATCTGTTACTTCTTTATAACACCTGAATGTCCAGCACTACCTGTCTAGGCCCATATTATATCAACATGTGTGCCATGTTGTCTAGACATAAACACCCCGATGAGCCTCTGGTTCCTCCAGATCTCTCACATGGGCACAACTCCCAGGCCTGGCACTCTATAGCCCACCACAAGCTACAGCTCAGGCCAGATATCCATATCACAGAACATTACTGCTGTACTCTGACTCAAAATTTCCCCCCTAGCTAGAAATATCCTATACACTAGATGAAAATTACAGTTTCATGCACTTCCTCTAAACTCCTAGAATAAGCTGTTCAGGGAAGGATGTTTGCCTTTGGAATGGCCTAACTTCCAACTCAACAAGATTCTTACTAGAATGGCTTTTTGTCAGTCCTCTGTACCATTTCTTAGCACGATCCCACTCCCTGCCATAACCATGCCTGCCCTATGGGGTTTTTCCCCTCTGTCTTTCTCTGTCTGTCTGTCTCCTGTCTGTGTCTCACTCTGACTCTCTTTGTCTCTGTCTTTGTGTGTATGTCCCCTCTACCTTTCCTGTAGGAGAAAGCTCACATTCCCAAGATACTGTCCACGCTCCCTTTGGGAATGTGAGCTTTCCCCTATACTCTCCTTAAAATGTACTGCTGTTAAAAGCACAGTACCAATATTCCGAGGCTTTCTCTGTTTTGAACTGTGGGTCCAGCCCGCAGCAGTAACACTCATACTGGAAGGAGGGAATCCTTCATCGAAGCCAAACCCCCTGGAACAGACTCTCGAGTCTCCTTCTGCTCTGGTTACTGAAATGTCTGCTTATTCCTTCTCTACTGAAACCAATGTTTTTCTTTTTTTAATTTTATATTTAAATTTAAATTGGAAACAAGGCTGCTTCATATGTCAATCCCAGCTCCTTCTCTCTCTCCTTCCCCTTCTCCCACAAACCCACCACCCCCTCCCCCAATCCCCAATCCTACCCCCAGGGAGGGTGAGGCCCATAGATTGCCTAGGCCTCTTCACTGACACCCACATTCAGGGGGTCTGAATCAGTCCCATGCTGGATTCCCAGCCATCAGACCATAGTTCAAGAGCTCCCCCTTGTTCAGGTCAGCTGTTTCTGTGGGTTAAAGAAGCCCAGTCTTGACCTCTTAGCTCATCAGTCCTCCCTCTCTCACTGGGTTCCTTGTGTTCACCTCAGTGTGTAGCTGTGGTTGTCTGCCTCTGCTTCCATCAGTCATTGGTTGAAGATTCTGTTTCCCAGACTCTCTGGCAGTGGAATTTTAGACTGGCACTCCCCTGATCCATTTCTAAAATCCATATATGAGTGAGTACATACCACATTTGCCTTTTTGTGACTGGGTTACCTCACTCAGGATGGTTTCTTCTAGTGCTGTCCATTTGCCTGCAAATTTCAAGATTCCATTGTTTTTTTCCACTGAGTAGTACTCCATTGTGTAAATGTACCACTTTTCAGTTGAGGGGCATCTAGGTTGCTTCCAGGTTCTGGCTATTACAAATAATGCTGCTATGAATATAGCAGATGTCCTTGATGTATGATTTTGCATCTTTTGGGTATATGCCTAAGAATGGAATTGCTGGATCTTGTGGTAGATTGAATCCCATTTTCCTGAGGAATCTCCATACTGATTTCCAAAGTGGCTGTATGAGTTGGCACTCCCACCAGCAGTAGAGGAGTGTTCCCCTTTCTCCACATACTCTCCAGCATAAACTGTCATTGGTGTTTTTGATTTTAGCCATTCTGACAGGAGTAAGATGATATCTCAGAGCTGTTTTGATTTTCATTTCCCAGATGGCTAGGGATATTAAGCATTTTCTTAAGTGCCTCTCAGCCACTTTAGACTCCTCTATTGAGACTTCTCTATTTAGTTCTGTAGCCCAATTTTTAATTGGATCCTTTGGTGTTTTGGAGATTTGCTTCTTGAGTTCTTTGTAAATTTTGGAGATCAGCCCTCAGTCAGATGTGGGGTTAGGGAATATCTTTTCCCACAGAGACAGCAGGTTACCCATATTCTAGGAAAAGAAGGCTAGAGGCATAGTCCTTAAGGAATCTCTTATTTTTATAACAAAAAATATAATGTACAAAGAACCTCTTCAGTTACAAATAAAGGCTGTGCCCAAATTGTGTGTTGTCAAATTTCTGTAAGTTGACCAGTTGGACAACACTGAATAACTTTGTTGTATTCTCTATGCCCTAGTTCCTCATCTTTTTGCTTAGAATTTTTGTTTTTACGAGACAGAGTTTCTCTGTATTGCTTTGGAGGCTGTCCTGGAACACGTTCTTTAGACCAGGATGGCCTTGAACTAACAGAGATCTGCCTGCTTCTGCCTCCCAAATGCTGGGATTAAAGGCTTGCGTCACCAACGCACAGCCTTTTTGCTTAGAATTAAGACCACTTTTCCCTTTTATAATTATAGAGAAATATTTCTAACTTCCTGATATGTTTTTCTTCATATTTTATATAATGATAATAAAAATATAGTAACATAAAATTATTGTAAATTGAAATACCCTAGCCTATGAATATGTTTATTATAACTAATATGTTAGAGGCATTTCTGTGGTGCTTGGCACATGCAGACCACTCAATAAGCTTTACTCACTGTTGGAAAATACTATGATTGTGAAGAAAATTTATGATTTTTACTCCTAGGTGAATCGTTATGGACAATAAACCTGCATTTTTACTTAACTTCAAAGGCTATAATTTTGAAAGATCTTTAGTTAAAATGGACATAGTGGAAAATATGGACAATCATGAAATTAGAGATGATGATGTCTTCCTAGTCACATATCCCAAATCTGGTGAGTGGCATGAGTAAGCCATGCAGCGTTCGTGTTGTTTTGGTTTGATAATAAGTGCATAAACGATCTCCTTTCCACACACCATCAACTCAACTGTATTAGTTTCTTTTCTCACTGCTGCAACAGAATAACTCATCATGTTGGAGAAGTCACAATAGCTTAAGGCAACTTGTCAACTTACATCTGCAGTCAGGAAGCCCAACTCCATAAACCTAATCTAGATAACCCCTCATATACACACCCAATTTGTCTCCATAAATATCATAAATCCCACCAGACAACCAATATCAGCTAACACAGCGACCTACAGCTTAGAACAATGTATGGCCAAAAGGGATTACATGAAACTGAAGCCTCTATGCATAAGAGCCTTTGCTATGCATGTATTGTAATTTATTGTGGAAAAAAATGGTGGGGGCAGGCATGGATCAAATATAGAGTTAACAGCATCTAGTTGATAAACGATGAGGCGTTGCCTTAGGCTGTTGAACAGGTCTGAGGTAATCAAAAACCTTTTCTGCAAAAGGTACATGCTTTATTATGTAGAGGCTTTATCTCAGACAATGATTACATTTCCAATACATTTAATTTTGTTGACAAGATTTCCAAGACAACTATAATCTACTTAAAATTCTCAAAAACAGAAAAAAATTCCTTGAGCTGTGAAGTTTCTGTATAGGTAGAAGCCCCCCTGATCTCACTCCTCCCCTTACAGACCCCCTCAGGGGAATGTCCGGTCAGTTCCTCCCCTGAGATGCTCAAGACCACGCCCACAAGCTATTTAAGACTCAGTCCCCATGCAGTTACTCCCATCCCCTTTCTTCTCCCTCCTGGTTTCTCCTCTTGCCCTGGGACCACCCGGGAATGTGTTGCTCAGTTTAAAACCTGGACTTTAATTCGGTCTGATTTGACTTATTGCATTGGTGGAGAGACTTAATATCGGGGTACAGAAACTTATTAGTTTCCCAAAAGGATTACTCCTGAGGCGAGCAAGCACAAGTGCTCCTGTTTCACTGCGAAGTCCTAATGGATATGAAGACAGACTGAAGTTCCCTTTGGAAAGGTAACTTCTACCTCAGCAGGAGAAACTTGGAAGTCTCGGTTTAAGTTTTTGCAGTGGTTAACACGGACTAAATAGTAACAGCATAGGTTTCACATGCATCCCCCACCCCGGCCCCCACTTAGTTTTGCTGTCTCTGCAGCATAACACCAAAATTTTATGTCCATCTTTGACAATTTAAGCAAATAAAGACACTTTGCAAAAATACTTCTTTGTTCATATCAAATCCTACTTTGCTTTCCGTTTTTTCGATGTAGTACAGAACTTGACGGACTCCGTGAGGCCTTCACTCTGTTTCACTGTACATATTGACTAGATAACTCAGCCACTAAACAGCCTCTGGGTGCTTCTGAAGGTCCCTGGAAAATCTGAAACGGGCACAAGTGTTTATATTGTGCCACACAGGATACCAAAACTATTCATTGTTGTAAGTTCCGAGGCTGGGATGTCTTGTCATGATCAGTTCTTTCAAAAAATTAGGCTCTGCTTCACACGATGCCTGTCACTCCTCACTAGGAATAGTGATTGAGTAATCAAAACTACACTGCCACCAATGAATTATCTAGAATAGCCATTAATAAATAAGGCTAAACCTCAGCACTATGGCATTTGGTATTTGATCACTTCTAGGTCCATTCTTAAAGGGAATAGAATTGTGCATTGGAATCGTGCATGTATTTCCCAATACTTCCCCTATATAACCTAGTCTAATAGTCCAGAGACCAAATGTCAGTAACACTGAAATATTTGGTTATAATCAAACACTTAGAATATGCCAGAGAAGTCTTTGAGAATGCAAAGCAAGGTAACAGTGGAAACTGCAAGTATTTAATTCTATTAGTTTTTCTACAGTTCTAAAAGGCAATCAAATAATGAAGTAATTTCAGAAATGAGTCAGAATTGCCCATAAACAGCAATAAAGTAGCATTCAATAACCTGCTACATATCTTATGAAAATTAAGAAATAAGGTAGTGCCAGGCGTTGGTGGTGCACACCTTTAGTCCCAGCACTCGGGAGGCAGAGGCAGGCAGATTTCTGTGAGTTTGAGCAAGTTCCAGGACAGCCTCCAAAACAATACAGAGAATCCCTGTCTCAAAAAACAAAAACAAAACAAACAAAAAGAAAGAAAGAAAGAAAGAAAGAAAGAAAGAAAGAAAGAAAGAAAGAAAGAAAGGAAGGAAGAAAGAAAGAAAGAAGGTAGAAAGCTCCAAACAGGAAAAATTAAAAAAAAACCTTGTAGCAAGACAGAGTGCTGCTGTCTCTGGCGTGATCTGACCACACTGTATGTACCTATATGTAGTGATACTGCACTTTACCTGTTAGTATCTGCAAACGTTGTATGTCAATAGCAGTTAAATGTTACCGAAAGGACCCCATAGGAAGCATAGAATACACAGACACTACAAGAATAACCTGGATCATCACTACCAAATCACCACATCTGTTTAAGTGAAAAAGGAACAAAGAGTTGCTAATTTCAGCATTACCAACTTGAGCGACAAATACAGACAACAGGGAATGAAAAGTGGGCACATCCAAGCCTGCTTGGAGTGTTAAAGGAAAAGGAGCTCCGAAACATTTTTAAGATGGATGGCATTGCTGTTGGTATTCAATATTAAATCCTACTTCAGGATTGAAAACAGGATTGTTATCTATTTTTACAGGTACTGTCTGGACTCAGCAGATCCTCAGCTTGATTTATTTTGACGGCCACCGAAATGGCACTGAAAATATATCAACAATAGACAGAGCGCCATTCTTTGAGTACAACAATCACAATTTGGACTTTGACAAAATGCCATCACCTCGCATCTTTGCTTCCCACCTCCCATATTATTTAACACCAAAAGGACTCAAGAAGAAAAAAGCCAAAGTATGTCGTAGAGCTTAGTGACTTATTGTGTCCATGAGATGCCTTCCCTAAGTACTGAATAATTAATTATTTCAATGTTTTGCTAATACAATGCAGCTGCTAAGAACACTCGAGTATGTCTCCTGAGCACTCTCCCACCAACTTCCCTAGAATCCACACCCATAAATAGAACTGCAGAGCCACAGTTCACAGGGCACTCCACTCACAGAGGTGGGGCAGTATTTCTGAGGAAAGAGGATTTATCATTTCTTGCTGAGATGCGCAGTAGATGACTTCTTAGTTTTTGTCTAGTAACTTGACATGTCAGGCTTTTAGATGTTTATCAGCATGGCAGCTGCCAAAAGGTGTCTCACATTTATCTTAATTTGCATACTCTTCTCATAATGACAGTTAATTTTCTTTGATGTTCCTTGGTCATAATTATTTTTGATTCTGTTGCAAAGCTCTACAGTTAGCCCAACATTTTATTACATTCTTCATTTCAATTTGCTTTATATCACTTTTAGATATGAATCTATTCTCGATTATCCACATTGCTTTCCAATGTATGTTTTGATTAGTAAAATTCTTAATTTTAGTTTTATCAAACTGGTTGATTTTTCTTTTAAATAAATTTGCATTTTAGACATTTTTCCTTGCTTTAAGCCTAGAGATATGTTCTTTGGGTTTTGGTTTTATTTCTTATTCTTTTCCTTCCTCCCTTCTTTTATTTCCTTTTTTTTCTTGTGAAAGTCTTGCATGTAGCCAAATCTGGCATGAGTTCCTCCTGACCTAAACTCCCAGGTGCCAATACTGTGGGCATACACCCACAGATTATTATTGCTGTGTGAATTTTTATATGATTTTTTCCTCTTAAATCATGTTTATGTTACTTTTCTGAAAGATATGAAAGAAAAACTCATTTTTCTTTGAAGATTTTAGGTGGATTACTAGTTATATCAATATAACTGTTAGTTTTCTGTTGTTACACTTACCTTCTCTGCTACTTAGTTATACATCTAATATCACTTAATACCCATCAATTGACCCTTGTAGCTACTAATGTTTTTTTCCTTTTAAATATTTAATTAAAAATTTTATACATATATTTTGATCACATAAGGGAATCAGTATTAATGAGTAATTACAAACAATACTGCTTTTTGAGAATTGAGCTACATTCTTATACTTGTATGAAATCCCATAGTAAAAGGTTATTTATTACAGTACTTTCGATAATACCAAAAAAAAGCAATAATTGCTCAAAGACTAGAAGAAATAATTATACTTATTGTCTGTAACATGAAAAATAAAAGACTGATATTGGGGTTCAAGCTTCAAGCTGAAGATCAGAAAAGCAAAGCAGCCAAGCCAGTAGATCTTACTTCTACCAAACTGAAATGGCAATCCTGGCCCCCACACATTCTCAAAGGCAAAAGGCGATCCTGTCTCCTCCTCCTTATATTCCTTTCACCGCCCAGTCATATCATTCCTGTCTCTACCTCCTAGTGCTGGAATTAAAGGCTGTGATCCCAGATACTGAGGTCACCTTTGTGTGGCTGTTTCTTTTGGGACTGGATCAATTTCATGTAGTCAGTGTGGCCTTGAACTAACAGAGATCCGTCTACCTCTTAATCCTGAGTCCTGTGATTGAAGGTGTGTGCCTGGCTTCCATGGCTAACTAGTATGGCTGTTTTGCTATTTTGATCTCTAGTGACTTTAATAAATCATAAACAATATATCACCATAATTGTCATAATCAAATATTATAATATTGTTTTTTAAAACTTGTAAGTATAACAAAGATTTATTTAAAGAAATAATTTAATGATTTTGTCTGCAGATCCTTTATATCTATAGAAACCCTAAAGATGTGTTGACTTCTTATTTTCATTTTACAAATTTGATGACTTATCTTCAAGCTGCAGATAATATAGAAGTTTTTATGCAGAGCTTTCTAGATGGGCAAGGTAAGTGCTAATGCATCTACCCAGACAGAAACGATTACACAAAAGCTGCCAGCTAGCCAAATTCTCAGACTTAGAGAGCACAATTTAAAAAAGAGGAGCAGGGCAGTGAAATGCTCTGTTCTTCTGAACAAGAAAAACAATACCAGACAAACAAAAAAACAAAACCCAAACAACTCATCTCTAGTGACAATCGTATGTCAACTCTATGTGCCATCACCTGGCTTTTCTATCTTTGTGCCCCATTTGAGGATCGTCAGGGTTGCAAAGGCATGTCACGTAGGACTATTTTGTTTTATAGACACCTTATCAATTCCTTTCAACTAGTGACAAAGTTAGAGTAATCCATTCTGACAGAGCAAATGCTGAGGGTAAGTGTGTGTTTTGAATGGGCCTGTATAAGGTCTTATACTGCAACTGTGGAACTGTTCATTCCACTGCTTACAGGAATTAATACAAGAGGCTCACAGCATGTAGAGTCGGAATCTCGCTTATTTGTAAGATGATATTCAGATTCTGTGCACTATAGACAGTGAACACTGTTGCCCAGACATTTGAGAAAACAAGAGAGGAAATAGAAACATGTGCCCTCTGTGGTTGCGTAGGAAAATGAAGCAGTGTGCCTTCAAGTCACCTTCAGCCTTGGTCCCTCAGTTTCTGTGTTACTTCCTTCCTATTCCTGTTGTAACTTTATAGAGATGGGTTTCTATGAATGGCAGGTACTTGTTCCCCCAAACCTACTAAAAATTTTAAATAGTGATACAGATATCCATGGCTGGGACTCTGTTTTATTTCTGAAAATTCCAAGCCAGAAAAAGAATAGAGTTTGCCGTTCGCTACATGCACACACAGCGTGGCATTCTTACCCCTCACCTCTTCTCAGTGGTAGGAAGCCGTTGGTTTGACCACATAAAAGGCTGGTATGAACACAGACATGACTTCAACATTATGTTCCTGAGCTACGAAGATATGAAGAAGGTAAGATGAGAAACCTGTATTTGTAAATGATTTCTTTTGCACTGTTCTGCTCTTGGTTGGAAGCACATTCTCCCAGTTATCCTCATACTATAGTTCTTCCTTGGGCTTTTTGTTGGAAGTGATTCCTAATGTCTGGCCTCTGCCGCATTCGCTGGACTTCCCCAGTACTCTCTCCTCCCTGGACAGTCATCTTTCGTTATACCTTCTTATGCAGCCACCAGTGTCAAAGGCAACCTCGAAAATTCACAGCAGCAACGACTTTCACAATTAAGAACTTTATTGTCGCACATTCACTGTGTCCATTAATAGACTTGGCGTGAACTTCCTGCTTTCCTCTTGTCACTCTTCTTGCACTGTACTCCCTTCCTTCCCGCTAAGACCCTCCCCAGTCACTGGTAAACACAATTCTGTTTTAGGGTCGACTTTTACGTTTCCACGTATGAGAGAACACAACACATTCGTCTCATTGTCCAGATTAGTTCACTTAACCTGATGTACTTTGCATCATACATTTTACTGTAGGTGAAAGAATTTCATTTCATTTTTAAGTCTGAGTAATAAAACTGTTTATGTGTTATATATGACGCATCTCACAAATTCTTTTCTCTCTGATCTGTTGATGGACACTGGGGCTGAGTCCATTATTGCAGTTTAAAATGTACAGCAAGAACACTGCAAAGCTCACATGCACACAGACACACACACACACAGAACACTGCAAAGCTCACATGCACACAGACACACACACCGATTTTTTAAATTTTAGAGATTTTAGACTAGTAAGTGTAGTTAATAAAGAAATGCCAAATATGATGTCAGTATTCATACAAAGGTTTCTGGTATAATTGAAGATAACGGCTTTTCTGGGCAGGAGAAGTAACATGGGATTCACAAGCTAACGTATGAATTAACAAAAAGAAAATGGGTAAAAGCAAAACACAAGATAGAATTTTATCTGAATCAATACAGTATTTAGAACCAAATCAGAAAAGGACTTGAACATTAAATTAATATGTGACACAGGGGCATACCGTGCATGTCTGTGGATCATGCTAATGATGGATCGCATGTCTGTGGATCATGCTAATGATGGATCGCTATCTCTGTAACCCTAAAGTAGTGAAGAGACGTTAAGAGTTATAAAATACCACAGCAATGGGACAGAATTAACATCTTTGGAATGAGTTTAAAAGAGAAAATGTTACGTGTAAGTAGATCCACTAAAGATGAGTATTTATTTACCCATGGAATACACTCACACATCATACCATAATTATAGATGAAATTAAGCTTATTTTAAAGAGAAAGTTCCCAACATTCTCTAACAATATATTTCTACCAAAATTAAGACAATCCTACATGCTTGTGTTTACACTTTGAGCTGTAACTCATACCTCCATTATAAGTCAGTGATTTCCCAACCCATGACTTTTTCAGGACCTTAGAAGCTCGGTGCTTAAAATCTGCAGTTTTCTGGAGAAAGAGCTGAGTGAAGACAATGTGGATGCTGTGGTGAGACAATCTACATTTCAGAACATGAAACGTGACCCACGAGCAAATTATGAAGATGTAAAAGTTGAAATTGGGACAAGAAATGATGAGGGAGGATTCCTCCGAAAAGGTGATGTTTAGTGGTCTGTAGTAGATGTGTGTGTGTGTGTATATATATATATATGTATATATATATATATATGTATATATATATATATATTATATGAGAGAGTGTTCCTTGGAGTGCCTACAAGAAATAATCTGTGTTTCCAATGTATATCTCCAGGTGATAATGACATTTGGGAGCACCAGCCATTTTAACTGACAGAGAACCTGAAGGTTTTCTAGTAGTGTTTTAGTGCAAAATCTGGCAATTTCACTTACTAAGTAAATATGACTTTCCTTCCGTTAAGGCCACACGACTCAGCCTTTTAAAGTATGGCAATAGATATGTTAGAAGTGGAAATTCTTGGTCATGTTGTGCTATTGTTTTCTTTTGTTGGGTGTGTTTGTGAGAGAGAGAGGGGTGGGGGGAAGGGAGGGAGACAGAAACAGAGACAGAGACAGAGAATTCATGTGTTTCACAGTGTAGCCCAAGCAACCAAGGTTGATTAAATTCATAATCTTCCTGTCTCTGACACACACTCCTCCCTGGGTGCTAGGATTACAGATGTGAAACACCATGTTCTGCCTAGACAAGAACAGTTTTATTTGCTATTTTTTCTATGATATTGTACAAGTAAACTTACTGTATGTTTATATTAAAGATTGAAAATAAAGTTTAAAATGCTGTTTCTTTGTGTGTGAGATTTTTTTCATCATAAAAATTAGAGTTAAAGGCTGGAGTTCAGCTGTTAAAGGCTAAGCTCACAACCAAAAAATAAAAATATTAGAGTGATGTCTTACTGCTTTATCTTGTATAAATCCAATTAAGAAACAGCCAATAAACTTGTTATGATCTCATATTATGCCAGGAGATGTGGTGAAGAATGAACATTTCCCTCTTGATACTCTTTTAACTTATCATTATTATGATCATTAGCTTATATTTTAATATCTCTGGATTTTTATATTTTTCAAACTCTTTTGTCTCTTCTGCTACTTAACATCAATCTTCACATCTCATTCCTCAATGTCCTACCCATGGTAACTTGCCATCTGTTTTAAATGCAAACAATGATATTGTTGTCTAGGGCAACTGAGCATCCCAACTGGCTATTTTCATTTTAACTGTGATCATTTCAAATTCTTATCCAGTAAAATCATAACATTTTCTGTTCCAATACTCTGTATCACCTTGACTTGACTTGCTGAAAACCTCTAAGTCTAATTTTTTTCTGTTTAAAAATGAAAGCGTGTGTGTGCATGCATGTGTGCATGTGCACACACACACACACATACACACACACACACTCAGAAGGTTGTGTTTGAAATATATTGTGTTTGAAGTATAAGTGTTTCTTAGCCTAATGATTGGTACAGAGTAAAATGCACTTTTAAAATTCTAATTTATTTTTTAACTTTTAAAGGGTTTTTCTTTGTAAAAATCTATTGTAATCTAGTGATACCTATTTACTACGCTGCTACTCTGAAGCCCCTTCTACTGAACTTTCTTCTGAGATAAGAGGAGAGGGTAGCCTGCAGAGAGTCCTGCAGAGAACTCAATGGTAGAGAGTAGAGTGGGTGGGGTGGACTTCGCCTTGGTAGCTCTACTTGCCTAAGTGCTATCCCTGTGCTTCTCTCATCAGGTACCATAGGAGACTGGAAACATCACTTGACTGTGGAGCAGAATGAAAGATTTGACATGATATTCGAGAGGAACATGAAGAACTTTCCCTTAAAGTTCATCTGGGATATAAATGAGGAGTAGAATTTTAATTACTGTGCAAATTAATAATATAAAAATGTACTAACCAGAGGAGGCCATACTTTAATATTAATATCAATTTATTCCTCTCACTTAATTATTAATTATAAAGGAAAATTCATGAACAAAGCAATTAACCTATGCTTAGATTGCTTGCCATAACATTAATTTTAAAGGTAGCTACTAGCATTATTAGTCTTCACAAAAATGATGTAACAGAAAGCATAAAAGATGGCTTATAGATGTCTTCAGAGACTAGTCTACAGTTCACATTTTCTTTACCTCCAATTAATGTAGGATCGAATAAACATTAAAAATCCATTTATTCTTATAGTTAACCTTTAATCATTGCCTTCAAAATCAATGGAACTGTTAAAATGTGCTGTGTGGAATAGAGATGTCATAATCAAACATATATGCCTTTTAAAAATAATGTAACAGATCTCAGTGTGCAGTAAAGACATACAAATCAAAGACTAAACATGCTGGTTTAAGTGTGGATGCTTGGGATCTGGGCCCCCACCCGGGGTCATGTGGGGCTTCAAGGGACATGCTGCTGTTGGGTCCATGCTGATGTAAATGACAAGCACTGCCTACCAGGACCGTGGTGACATCTGAGCCCTGGCTGCTGCCAAGGACCATACCTGGGTCTATGGTCCAATGACAGTTGGAGTCTGTGTTGATGGGTGGGAGGCAAGGAGCAAAGGGGGTATCATTCCAGTGGCCACACAACCTTGTGACAGACTGTGGGGCTAGCTCTCCCACGCTTCAGGTCTGCTCACCCGCACCCCCACCAGCAGGGACAGCTCTGCTGTGCTGCCCGGAGGAGGTACAGGGTTGCTCTCCACATTGGTGTAGCCAGTGAGGGGCAAGAAAAACTCTGTGCAGCCCTATCTATCCTCACTGCTTTTGGTGGGAAAATGAGCCATGGACATCAGCACAGATGGCAGCTGTGGCAGGGCCATGAACCCAGACATGGCCCCTGGCAGCAGTCTAGGCCCAGAGGACACCATGGCCCTGGGGGACAGCACAGGCTACTCAGATCTACATGGCTCCAGCAAAGACTCAACCCTTGGACATTAATCTGGCTCTACGTGGCATCCCAGGCCCCTGATGTCTATGTGACCCTTAGTGGCTTTACAAGCTACTCACGTAGCAGAGCAGGCCCAGCACCTCATCTGGGCAGATCACTAGAGCTCACTCTGTTGACAGGGGTAGGTGAGCCTGGCCTGTGAGCAGGATACATGTACCCCTCACTCCCATGCCATGGGATGGCAAGGGTAAAGGAAATCTGCCCTTATCCCCCATCCCTGGCCACCCGCAACAGGCAGGAGATCCAACCTCCAGGGCGTGAGAATCAATCGAATAGCTGACCCTACCCTCACCAGGCAGAAGGGAGGGGATGGGGAGGTGGATGAGTGCAAGGTGTGAAGTCCTCAGAGAAGCAATAAAAAGTTAAACACACACACACATATACACACACACACATACACACACACACACACACACACACACACACACACACACTGGTTTAATAACAAGGTATTACAGCGAACATATTACTCAGCCTCTGGCTATTAGTAGAGGGACCTTATATATGTAAGTCATTCCTAGCTTTAATAGTATTTAGCTGCATGACACTGAAGTCAAATAGAGCCAATATTCTATTTCTGAGCTATGTGACAGGAAAGATGATGTGCATTATGAAATCTATGCAAACGAATATAAGCTCTTAATTTCTATATCAAGTGCAAATGGTTACAAAATGCAAACAATTACAAAGAAAATTCTCCCCAGTAGTTTTGTATTAGTAAACTTAAGAGAAAAAGTGGGTTTGTATGAAGCAAACAATTCTAGACTCTCTAAGGATATACTGGGAAACCTGGAGTTTATATTTACTTCAAATAATGAGGTAATATGAAGCATAAAGGAATACTGTTGGAAAATAGAACTCGATGTTTGGATTTAAAAATTCTTTTCCAGATGAGGTTAGGCTGATCTAAGTGTGACAAATGAATTGCATGCATACACTGCTAAGACATCATATTTTGGGGAAAAGCAGGCCTAGGGGGACAGAAAAGGGTGCACCGGCTAATAAGGAATCATGAAGAAGCTGTTGCTTGGATTCACGAAATCAAGGAGTTGGGAGAGAACTCAGATGCCCTCACTTAAACAGAAGCCTCACTGTTCTACCCTGATTCTGCTTGCTGCCCCTCTGAAGGGAGCAGACTCTCTTCAGTTCATCTCCCACCTCTCAGCTTTCCAGAAAACTGTCTAGAAAACAAGCCAAAGCGTGGGTCTGGATTGTCTTGAATCTCAGAAAGGTACATACAGAGCCCTGGGTGCATTTCACTCACTATTCATGACCTGCTGTAGCTGCTACTACCGGCATTGCGCAGAGTGCGTTAGTCCCCTGTACAGGACCATGACCAAGGTCTCACCCTGAAGAAGGGGTTGCACCAGGATGGATTCCCAACCTCTCAACTTCTCCTGCTCATCCACTGGACGCTTTGGCTGGTCAAATCAAATACATGTGTTGTTTGTTAGACAAATAGAAGAGGCCAGAGAGAAGGTGGAACTCTGGGGAAGTGCCCGAGCAAAGTGTAGCTGATGTAAGCTCATCGATTCAATCTAATAATTTCAATTATAACAGAATGAGGATGTTTATTAGAGCTGGCCTAAATCCCAACAAAAACACAGTTCAAACCATACCGCCCATCAACATCATCTTAGTTTTGGAGATTTAAAAACCCATTCGATGAGACAAAAAGCGACAGCTTCTCAGAAGCAGTTAGTCTGGTGGAGGCAGACGGGACACAGACACAGAGGAAACTGCCGCGCGTGCCTCTACGGGCAACCGTCAGGTCTTCCTGGATACCCCTGCACTGTGCGTGGCAGCCAGGTGAAGTTCATCCACTCTAGCGGTGCTAGTACCCACTTGTACCAACATAGCACTGGGATCCCCGGGAGCTAAGTAAGCGTTGGAGGCTCTTCCGCACTGACCCAAAACACTGCAATCTGGAGAAGGGCTCTGAGCTGCAAGTTCACATTGTGATCCCTGGAGCAAAGTAAACATTGCTCTTCTTCTGCGCTGACCTGGACACTGCAACCTTGGAAAGGGTTCTGAGCGGCAAGTTCATGTTGCGATCACCGAGCCAAAGTAAACACTGGAAGCTCTTCAGTGCTGACTCAAGAGACTGTATAACTAACCTTCAGGGTGGATCTGAGCTGCCGACTCTAAATCATCAAAGAGGTCCCAGTGACATGAGACCTCACTTCTTCAACAAAAATCCTGCGAAGATTCCTCACAAGACCATCATCTGTGCCACCTTGCAGTTTTTGATTGGCACCACTCTCGTCGTGACGGGCTGCCTTCTGCTGGCCGGCTACATCAGTCACGTGGGGACCAGCCGGGCCATCGCCGTCCTGATTGTGGGCATCTTGGTGTTTGTGCCAGGGTGTTACCATCTGGTCATCATCTACAGATCCTGCAGAGGCTGCCAGAACTACTCCTACAGTGACCTTCCGGACTGTGAGGACTAGCCAACAGCAGGGAAGGGGTGGTCACCGGTGGGACTGAACAAAACTGCAAGGCATTGGCAGGTGAAAAATTACACCTGGAATTTTAAAATTCTGCAACTTTATTAACGATAAATAAAATTATGACCATATTTTACAAGTACATTCCAAAAAGTAACTTGAACTTACAGCTAACCAAAGATCAAACTAGGTCTACTTTTAATCCCCTGACCCTCCTGAAAATACCAGTTAAAATTTCCAAATGAATATCTATAGTCAGAGAACAGCATGAAAACCTAAATCTGTGTGGCAGTGTTGGGCCACCACAACTCTATGTAGAACTGAAGATAAATTTAATATTTCTGGTGGACAATTTTACTATGTGGCAACTGGAAAAGGCTAGTACCAATTTTGTGATATTATTTTTACGTTTACCATCCTCCACTTATCTCTAACTTTACAGTCTATGTATGATTTAGTAAAAAGCAAATATCACTGGAGAAAAATAATGCTATTGTTTTGCTGTGCAGGGGTCTTGTGGCTTTTAAAGCCCAACTTACTTAAATTAAAGACACGAGCTGTCTTAGCCTTGGAAAGATTACCCTAGCGCAGTGAGACAGTTTGGGGCATAGTTCCTACTGTGTGAGATCCCAGGAAGCAAAGTATTTTAGATCAGTGGCATGAGACAGGAATAGTCAGAGACTATAAGCTGCTTTCCCCCTCTCCCCTTGCCACCTGTGTCAGATGAGAGAGCTGGCCTGGGGGTATTGTGACTGGGAGAGCTGGCCCCGCCCCTCACAAGCTGCAGCACATCGGAGAATGGGTCCTGCACCTCACCTGGGCAAAGCGGTAGAACCATCCCTGGTGGTGTGGATGCAGATGAGCTGGCCCTAAAGGCATAAGAGCGGAACTGCCTCTGCCCCCTGCTGTCTGATGATTGGGCGAGCTAGCCAGGGCAGTGCTGCAGAACTCACCTTGGTGGTGACAATGAGGAAAAGCTGGCTCGCTGACCAACCCAGCGACCACCCTGGCCCAGAAGCAGGGTTGAGTGGGCCCACCCCAACATTCACCTCATCTATGAACTGCTGGAGCATGTGAAGGGCCAGACCTGCAGATCCAAAACTACAGGACCTCCACGACACAAGGCACCGATAGGATGTCCAAGAAGAGTCCCAGTTCGTTGTGTGATGTTTCATTTGTGTCCTAACAAATAAATCATGTCTGGTGATCAGAGGGTGGAACTAGCCACTATTTAACCATAGAAGCTGGGTAGTAGTGGCACACACACACCTTTAATCCCAGCACTCGGAAATGGTAAAATGAGGTATAGACAGGCTCTCAGCTTTTTGGACTGAGGAATGAGAGGGGAAAGAAGCAATTGGTGACTGCTCCTGGTTCTCTGATCTTCTAGGTTTTACCCTGATATCTGACTCCTGGTTTTATTGATACGATTAATTAGGATCACTCTTTACCAGTGAGGGCCTAGTATTCAGGGTATAGCAGAAGCTGGGGCCTTAAACCAGACCAATGACTCATTGCAATGAACATTTACAAGTAAAGATGTATGGACTAAAGAATGTACTAGGTGACTCACTGTGTCACACACAGTTTAATAAGAAGGAAGAGGCTCTGGTGTTTGTTCCATTTCTGGTAATTGAAGCAAAGCTTCCTGTCCTGGGAGTTCTCATTAAGTGCGGGAGATTATAAATAAAGGAGAAAGTGATAAATATTGTTTGAGAACAATCAGGTTTTGCTAAATTAACAAAGATAATACCATGTGTAATCTGTGCTTTCAAGGTAATGATAATCCCCTCTTAGAAACCACAGAAGATACAGAAGTCTATGGGAAAAGAGAGCATTAAAAAGACCAACATGACTTCATCATGAATCGCTAAGATTATAAGGGGCTTGGGTATGTAAAGATAGTGTCTTTTGGATATAAAAGACTATTAAATTTATGGA